CTGTTTAACTAGTTCCTGTTTAAAGTCTATTTGGTTTTCTTTGCTCCTGGCTTCAAATGTATTCAAAGGATTATTAAAACCTAACTTTGTGTAGTACTACATAACAGGTATTTGTCTTTTCAGATGTTTCTTGACCCTGTTCAGACCTGTGTTCACATCCGTCGGCAGTGACCTGATGACAACTGGTCAGGGCCACAATGAAGGACCACATACTGACGTTCTCCAACATGCTACAGTTTACCATCCTGGTTTGATTGTGGTCACTGCCACAAAACTTTCAAACATTGTAAAACTATTTGTCTGTCTCTCCTCCTCACACCGAGAGACACAAAAACACACTGAGTCACTCCGGACAAAACATAATTTTGTCTTTGCGATCAGAAATGATGTGAATGTGTATTTAAATATGGAGCAGAGAAGTGAGATGACATCACATTTTGAAGCGCTGCCCACTTGTGATCGTATCCCTCAGGACGGATGTTGATACCAGGTCTGAACGGGGCCTGTGTTGCCGCCTGTGGCTCAGTTAAGATGTTTGATTAAACTCGGTGTTGACACTGTGAGGGAGTTCACCGCCTTTACGTGACTTCACTCTCCGACGCACCTGTCGACCAGGTGTGCATGAGACAAGGTCCCCTTTGTCAAACAGTCTTTCAGGATCTGCACTTTGAGACCAGGCTGATCACAGTGGAGCTCAAGTGTCAGTGCTGGAGTTGATGATGATTCCATATATTGTAGTTTGGACATTTTCATTGTAGAGAATTTATGTGAGCTAAAGCTTGAATGAATCAAACCTACAGAAGTCAACCGGCTTAATTCCTTAAGATTTAGCTGCAGGAATCTGTCAGGGCAAAATAAATCCCAGGTGACATGACATTCATTGAGTTCACATCAATCCATCCATAGTATAAATCCATGCTGTTGGAGTCGCCACGTTCAGACCTGGTATAAACGTCCTTCCAGAGAGATACGCTCACACGTGGACAGCGTTAAGTACATGTGTTCACACCCGGTATGAAAATGTGAGCGTGACTAATGTGACCACTTGTGATTGGATCTCACCGCTCTGTATGCAAATAAACACGAACATCACTTGTGTTTGCATAGACCGAATGATATTGTTTTTACCAAGGCTGAGTTCACGCGTGTGTCCGATGACTGTGTGTGTGTGTGTTTTGTGTGTTTTGTGCGTACGTGTCTGAGTGAGCAAGAGAGAGAGGAGTCAGGTGGGGCTGAGTGAATTTCATGCAGATCTGTTATAAAGAAAGATTTTGACCAGTTTAAGGAAAGTATTAATCATTACGTGTGGATCAGTGTCGACATTGTGGTCGTGGCTACAAACAAATCAACAAATGGTCACTGTGGTGGGTCGGAGGAAGTCAGCTGAGTAGGCGGAGATTCACACAGATTAAAGATGGTGGCCACATGCGTCCCAGACCACCTGTGTACTGTAGTGAGGTCCACTTGAACTCTAGCTTCACACATCCCCACGACCAGAAATGGATTCTTTCTTTCTCAATCTGTCAGCTGTTGAATTAATTAATCTCCGTAATTGTAATGGCGATGATCGACATTCATCAGCCTGTGATTGGACCACCTCCGGCCCTCCTTCAGCCCCCTGGTGTGACCTACCCTGTTAAAAACAGGAAGCATCATGTAGAGCTTCTCCTCCTGCTCCTTCTGGGTCATGTGGCGAGGAGGGTGGCACAGTTCGGAGAACAGGCGCCGCAGGTGCATCAGGCCCAGCGCATTGTCCTGGGGGCTGCACTCCTCCTGCCTCGGCCGACCCATGATCCTCTTCACCATGTTCATCTTGAGCGGCTTTGTCAGGGCAAAGGCAGCCCTGTGGATGAGAGAGCGGGCGTTAATTACATGTATCACAGCAGTTCAATACATCCTGTGGGGATGAGAATGAAATCTAGACACTGTTTTTAACCAACTGCACCATGTCCACAGCATCAAGGGTCAAAAACTGTAAACTACAGTGGGAGGAATATCTGAATGTGAATTTTACTTTATCGGTTTGAGATTTTGGAGGCACAGGCCCAACTGAAAGGTTGGTAGTTCGATGCAAAAAAATAAGTTAAATAAGCGAGTTAGCGTTAAATTAAGTTAAAGGTTAATTAAATAAGGAACATAAAAATGGCACTTTGGAATCAGAACTGAAAGTCAGCTATAATTTCAAATACTGAGCTTCAGTATTTCAAAAAGTATGAGATAAAATAAATGTTTGTATTAAAGGAGTCTTGATGTCTTATTGGCTTCCTGATAAAAACACGTGTTTGTTCAGAACACATTTTGTTTTTGTTTGGCCAACAGACTCTGAACCATAGCAATTAGATATCTGTCTTCCGTTAAATAATTGTTTTTTTATTATCGGCTGTAATCACCACACATCCTGTTCTCTCCAGACTATCTTTAAGATGGTTGCTAGGAGACATCACCGAGCTGCAGAGCCTACACACAACACAGATAAACATCCAGTGATAAAAACTGGATGAAAGCACTGGAACTGTTGCTCATCGATCTCAACATAGGCCTCGCGTCTCAACAACTGCACTGACACGGAGTAACGTGCTCGAGGGTTCACGGATGCTGGTGACCGTGAAAAAGCGTTTGCCCACGTGATAATCGTATGAGCCCGTAGGGATGTGGGCCATGATGAGAAAAATGTTGCTATAGCCGTTAGTAATACATCTTTCCTTGTATTCCTGCCTTTCTTGATTTCCTCGTGTGTTTGGTTACACCTCATTGTTCTGACGGTTGCTTTCTCTTCCACACATGTTGGATATTGAACTGCAAAACATGTTGTACTTGAAAAACAGCTCAAAGGCATGGACTTGCCACAACACCTTGTGGAGTTTGGTATTTTGATAAGCAACAGAAATTGGGAGATCAGGTGAAGCCAGAATTAGAGCCCGCCTACACTGCACCCAGTTCATAGTGCCAGCTGTCAATCACACTGTGTCGGTAGGAAAAAACATAAAATGAACATCACGCTGTTTTGAATAAGACTAGAAATTGAGGCCATAAACTTAAATTATGGTTGTTTTTTAATTTTTGTAACCAGTGGAAATGCTCTCTGTCCATTTTAATATAAGTCTTGCAAAAACTATTTTACGTGAATATCTGGTTTATAGATAACTGCCCTGGCTGAGATAACGTCCCTGGTCACCTAGCGGACCTGAGGTGAACCACAGCTAAAAAGCACTGACAGTTCACTTTCAGTCCTCTGAGGAAGTCGGCCGGCTCCACGGATGATGACGAGACATGACAGTTTACTGTGTAGTCCGTCTTTCCTGAGCGGAGGAAGTTCAGTCCTCGCAGAGAATTACGCTCACTTTAGACACTGACGAAACAGTTCCTGTAACAATGAGGTTTGGGCAAGAAGCTCGAGACCGAAGAGGACAGACGTAAGATGGAAAAGGTTACTTACAAAATTCATAAGCGTGAAAGGTTGTTGGTAAAAATAAATGGCTCTCATTAAATGAAATAAAGGGAATTGGCTAATGACATATTTGTCAGGTGTTAGACAGATCATGCTTTGAGAAGACTATGTGAATAATATTTTAACCATGGCATCAGTAATTGGCCTATTTCTCCAAATGTTTAGCTTCATTTCTGGATAGTGGGAGGAAGTTGAGACATATATCATTCATCTGTATCTACGTATCCCTGTGTGAGATATGTTGCTGTTGTATTTGGTACCGGACACAGATCACTGCAGAACCGAACTGCAGTGAAGGGAAAGAAACTCTGTTCCACACATTCTCAAACACCTGCCAGTAAAACCATGTTTTCCAGCAGCACGATGCTTCACTTCCTCTGTGACAGCTCAGGAGTAGCTACTGAGAATTCAGAGAGCATTTTTCATTCCCTCTCCACAGCCACTTATGTGAAGTCTAAACAAATCTGGATTCAAACCAGCCCCCCCTCAGGGTGAGCGCCCCTCTGAGGGGGGGCTCATTCACTCTTGGCCAACTTCTCCATCTGTTGGCTGTATATAAAATGTGATTCTGTTGTTGTGATATCACAATTATTGTCCCTTTGGGGATATTAGTATTTCTAAAGTCCTTAGACTTGACTCTGAGCCAAAAATAAAAGATTTGGATTTGGCACTGGTGATTTTCTCTGGTGACCTGTGTCATACTCGTTTTTTTATAGAATTCTTTGGTGGAAATAATCATTGCCAATCAATCCACACGTTAATTAAAGAGATTTTCAAATTTTATCACTCGACTGATGTGAAATATCCATTACCACCAAGAAGAATGATGATAATTGTGGGACTCTAAGGATCCCTGACATGTTTTATGTCCCCCCCCCCCTTTGAAAAGGTTGTTTGACCAGACCTACGACAAAAAATATAAAAAGGAAGGTGAAAATGCCCTAAGAGCTAAATGGAACAATTATTAGATGTTCCCTGAGGTTAACCTTTATTGAAAGCTTTCTTCTTCAAGGTCTGCTTTTCCCTGGCGGGCATCTCGACACATTTACTTTCTCCTCGCGCCTCTACTTCCTGTAAGGACTGTCGTGAAAGACTGATAGAATGTGAAGAGCATGGCAGAGACAGACGACTACAAAGAAGCTTCCAAGTGTTTTTCTGACTCACAGGAACGTGGCATCTGTGGCACAAATGAAATCACTGTGAAGCGAAGGCTTTAATAACTCCTTCTTGCCCACAGAGAACGGCTGCCCTCTGCATGAACTCACACTCAAGCTGCAATTCTAGTCAACATCCGCCATTTAGTACACTTTAATCTGAAGTGCCTGATGCTGCCCGTGAGTGCGTACAGACGGTTATAGCATGAGCAGTGTCATGGGATTAAACCTCTTCACGTGGTTAGTACTTGGTTTCACAGAAAAAGCAACCAATCGCCCCTTTTCATAAAATTAAAGGCACAGTATGTAGAGTTTAGTGACATCTAGTGGTGAAGTGTCATGTTGCAGCTGAACACCCCCTCACCTCACCCTCTCCTTCCAAACATGAAGAAGAACCTGTGGCAGCTTCAGTTGTCATAAAAACTCAAAAGTGTTTAGTTTGTCCAGTCTGGACTAATGTAAAAAAACATGGCGGCCTCCGTAGAGAGGGTCCCCTCCATGTAAATATAAAGTATTTAAATATAAAGGGACTTTTCTGGGGTAAAGAAAACTACAACTCATACAATTTAGATGAAACAAACCAGTGAAAACATCATGAGGATTATTCTACATTAAATTTCTGCCATTAGTTCCCTTTCACCTGAATCTTACACACTGGACCTTTAAAGAATAAGTAATAAATAGTGAAGGTTTCTGTCCTAAATATCAGTCGACTGGAAATGTGTTGGAAGACAAAAAACAAAAAAGAGAGAAATCAAGGAAAGTGAAAGATGCTGCACTAATCATGCTTTGAGTTACATAATTAGTTTTGCCACATCAGTGCCTCGAGCCACTCTGCTCAGTTTGAAAGCAAATTTCATTAGAAAATAAAGAACTGTGGGTAGGATTTAGGTTGAGACTCATTTTAAACGCATGATTGAGATCAAGAGAGACAAAAGAATCAGGCTCTGACATTTACAATACAGCCTGTGTTGGCAGCGATAGAATCCACAATTCTATCGCTCTCACTAACCACCATGCAGTTCTGTCTGTCTAAGATAAGGCATTAGTGAAAACCCTTCAGTATACATCCACACAAAACAACTAAATTATCACCCTGCCTGCTGCTGGGACTGATAGAGTTTGATGAAAAATTAGATTTTTGTTTTTCAGTGACAGGTCTTCAGATTCACCAATTGTAAACCGAAGCAGTCGTGTTTGTTGTATTGTTAATTGTTCGCTGACTGACAATCATCACAATGTGGATCCCAACATCATGATCCGCCTTGTTCTGCTGCCAGTGATGGAGTGTACGGTAAAAACCTGCACAGATGGTAAAACTGGAGAACGTTGAATTCCTATGAGCTGTGTTCAGAGGTGATGAAATCTGTGACATTAGGCAAGAATAGAAAAAACCCATCGGACACAAAGCGTTTACAGCAGTCTGACCATTGTCTTTCTCACAGGGATGACTTTGACATACATTATTTAAAATGTTGGCCATGTTTAATATGGACCTCTGACTCTGTAACCCTATACACTCTGTAGAGCTCCAGCCATCGCTGCCATACAAGAGTTTATAATACCTCCTCAGAGTATTTATACTTCCTGGTGGCAGACGAGACACAACAAGTGATGACAGGCTGGCTGAACCTGGAGATGGTTCTTAGCTAAGCTCTGAACGAGAAACATTTCTGATGCTTTGGAGAGAAAACATTATGACAATAACTACGTAGCATCAGCAACTAATAGCTGCTTGGATTTCCATCGTTCCTGCAAAACATAATCCAAGAAACTGGAGTTCTGAGATACAGGAGACACATTCTGCTAATATTCAGGTTAATCACTTTAACTTGTGCCATTAGAGGAAAACAGGTTAACATTCTCTTTCTCAGACTGTCCATTGCTGCTGCTCCTCTTTTCCGGCTCTGTCTGAAACACTTGGTTTTACATCCTGCGTCTTTAAGGCCCCCCTCCCAACAACCGCTCACAGGGTGTGTGTGTGTGTGTGTCGTAAACTGATCAACAGGGTTTCCACCCAGACACAGTTGGGCTCAGAAACAGTGTCTTGTTATCGTGAACATGTTTCCTGCTCTTGCACGTCACAAACTGAGTCAGCAATTTGTTGCAGTTACGGGACATTTGACAAAAAAAAAATATTTTTCTGTAAATGTTGCAGAAAACGTCCATTTCAACAATTGCATTAACATGGACAAATGTTATATCCTTAATGTGTCTTATCATTTCATGTTTATGGAAGAAAGAGTTGCTTCACATTATTGCAAGTCATGTCAGATAATCTCAACCCTGCTGCAGCCTAATCAACTTCCACTGCCAACACCCTTCGCCTTTCTGCGCCGACTCGTGTATTATATTTGGTCCTTGCTTCTCATTTAATAATCCACGATACCCACATGACAGCCGTAAATAAAACAAATTGAATCCTCCTGGTAGAGGAACAGACGTAGCAGGGCCAAGGCTTTGAGAGAGAGCCACAGATCTACTGCACATTTGGTGAAGCCAGCACATCACAGCAGTGGGGTTATAAAGTGATCAGCGTCACCAGCAAGGCCGGTCCTCAGCTGCTGGCTGGAGTGGAAACTCTGAGTCACAGACAAACATGTTGAAAAGCTGTCAGTCGAGGACAAAATCTTGCAGTATGTCAAAAATTGGGAATCCAAAAGCAGAAGTGGTGGTGGTCGGCCCGGTAGGCGGTTTAAAAATATCCAGCTCACTGGGCCAGTTTTCTGAGGTTCCTGTTTAGAGCTGCAAGTTCAACATGAAACAGGAGGAAATGGGGAAAACAGCAGACGCTTCTTCTGCGACTTGGACTTGTTTGCAGGGTTTGGAAAAGTCCCAGTGAGTGACGGCTACTGAGACCCAGAGAAATGTTTAATCTGAAAGTATTCAGGTGTGGTTACGAGGCGACTTGCATGGAATCAACATAAGACGTCATCTTGTGGGATGGATGGATTTTTTTTCATTTTTTTTTCATTGGGTTTGTTCTGCAGGACTATGCAAAAACTACTGAATGAATTTTTACGGAACTTGGTGGATGAAACCAGGGCCAAGAAAGAATCATCTTTTTTTTTTTAATCACTTTAACATTTAGAGACATTCCACATTTTCTTAAATTTCTCAGAAAATAATTAACGGATCTTGATTAAAAATCGATATGAATGAGTGTTTTCAACTGGTGAAAATATGGATCTAGTCCATTTACATGTGGTTTCATAAAGGGACTGTTGGGCCTTGGTGGATGTATCCTGTGTTCAACTAGTCTGGTGAGGACAATAATCTTATAACCAACTAAAATGTTAATAAATTCAAATATGATCCTCATATAATGATCCTATGAGATCAAGCTGAAACAGTCCCACCTGTTTTTTTGTTCTGTAATGTATCCTTGACGCGGATCAAACCCTGCATTTATCTCTGAACGCTGCTGTTGACACTGCTGACGGAGCCACTGAAGCAAACAAGAGCACCGAGAGAATGGCAGAGTCGGAGCGCAGCAGGGCCGGGACCACAAACTGGGGCAAACACATGTCATACGACTCAGCATAAGGCTGAACTGGAAAATCAACAAAAGGGGGAGGCAGCGATCCACGGACAAATGTAGAATTACAACTCACTCCACCTACTTGGTAAGCAGCGAGCGTCACAATACCACAGAAACTAGTCCCGAGACACCTCACTTTGAGTTCTGTTTGTACATTCCTGTCAACACTCCTCTGTTAAGTGCAGTCAAACCTAAAAATATGAGACGTGGAAATTAAATTTGGGTGCATAAATTACTGCCTTGATGGAGCGTCACTTAATTGATAGCTCAGGGAGGAGTAATGGCTTTACCTAAAAGCTGCTTTATGTTTTTGATTGACTGCCTGAAGCTTCGTGGCGACTCTCACTTATCCACTCTTCTGTGGACACTTTGCTCTAAATAGTACATTAAGTATTCAACGTAGTCCTCTGACAGGTATGACAACAAACATGAGACATCGAAACAATACCAGAGGGATCGCGTTTGATGACATCGTGAGGCAGAGTGGGATCATGGGAACTGTCGTCTACACCTCCATTCGCTGCTGATGAAAATCTACCAGATGTGACTCAGGCACAAATCATGTTCATGATTTATGTGAAGCAGCAAATGAGAGTGATCAAAACTAACAAGGAAAACTGGATTTGAATATTGTTGGAAACATTTTTTAAAGTGTAAGTGCACAAGTCAACAAAATAACAACAGCTGAAGAATTGTTTTGCATTTGATGATTATTATTTCTCCTGAAGTTTCCTGCATTTAGAAGAAATCTAATATATTCAATTATATGTTGATTTTTCATCATGTGTTTTTCTCCAATTTAATCTCATCCATTTTTAACATCAGATCTGGAAACATATCCAGGAAAAGAATGAGGCCCACGCCTTTGGCAACAGAGCACTTATACTCGCTTCAGACATATGAAGCCTTATCTGTTGATCCAGAAATGTGTGGAGCGAAAAATAAATGCACCTGAAAAAAGGAAACGGTTGAGAAGAACTGGGATATATGAGCCCAGTCACTTTGGATTTCCAGCAAAGCTTTGGCAGAATGTGATTATCTCCAGCACAGCCACTGAGCAGCTTTGGCTGCGACAGAAGATTTTATGTCCTAATAAAACCAAACAAGTTAAACTGCTCATGTCTCTACTTTGATGTGAATATGAATGCACAGCAGTTGACCTGCAGGCACACAGCTTGGTGCATACTCTGCAGGTTGACTGCAGAACAATTGAACAAGATGATACCAACTTAAAGCTCGTGATTCTTATGAAAGTACAAAATATAACCACGACTAATGTCATTCGAAGGGAAAACAGCATCAAAACCATGTCTTGTCTTGGCTGAGGCAAAGAAAGTAAGTTGGTGGTATCAGAGGAATGTTGACTCCTGTGCAGTGGGGGAACTGAGCCTGCTTTCCTGGCCCTCCAGTCTTTTTCAAAGCATTCTCTTTAAGCGCACGCCAGCTTCGATGAATGTCTCACAGAGTTAGCACCAGCTCCTGGGAGATGAAGGCAGCCGATGCCCTGGAAAAGCCCGACTCTTCAAAGGCTTGTGCGGTTCTTTCTCAGGAGAAAGTGATGTAATCACAAAAATGTCTCCTGCATGACAGTTTATGACGGTGGGTGGAAGCCGAAGTCAACGGAGAAGACAAAAAAATGGGTTGACAGGAGTGAGACAATAACATAGCAAATCAAAATGCAAATTAGAGGAAAGTAAAAGTCTGTGCAGGACGGGGGGGGGGGGGGGACATTCCCACCGACCGCCAGCCAAATGTTTTGATTGCGGGTGTGACTGGTGTCCACTGTGACACATAACCCGAGGTTTTGTTACTGTGCCTCTCTACGATAGCCGACTGAAGACAATTCAAAATATCTGTCGTTTCAGAAAACAAAGAGCTGCTTCTATTTACTGAAGCATGTTTTCATTTGACAGCTAATGTCTGACCTGTGTAACACGAGCCAGGAAATGATCTCATGTCAAACAAGTCTGGAGGTTGACAACCCTCCTCCCTGGATATCATCACGGCAGACCATTACCACCAGTTCAATTCTACCTGAGTCAGTTCATGTTGAGGCGCAGCTACAATTCCGACCAATGTGGATTTGTTTCCTCGAGATCACAGAGGAAACTAATGAGTGTATTTTTCTACTCACAGTACAGATGTTCATAGAGTAATGTTCCAGCCAAGCAAATATTTTTTTCAGCAATGTGTCAGGACCGCAGAACGGTAACCATAACAACAAGTGGCTTTCATACCAAATATCTGCCTGTCAACAAGCAGAGAAAATATTAGGAGCAAATTAGTTTGTTAACTCACAAAGATAATTGTCATATGGATATGACACACTTGACTTAAATAGTAATATCAAGCATTTCCATACATTTGCCCCTTTACACCCCCCCCAATCACAATTAACCATCACAGTCTGGCCATCAGGAGCACTGGCAGTATTGGTGGCCCAGTGCACCATAACATTTTAACCATCCTCGGCAGGCAGAGCTCTACACAACCCCGACCTCCTCTACGTACCTGTAGTTTGAGGTGTCACGTGACAGTGTGGGCCAGAGCACTGGGCAAACTAAGTGAGCAGGAGCACAGTGCCTTGTAAAACGGTTTACCTCTGTTACCACTTGATGTTTCAACCTAAAAATCAGGGAGAAGATATTTCAGGGACTATATTCTATGTTCCAGTCGCTCTTGACACCGAGGTATTTTTGTTCATGAACACACGGCTGCTCAGTCGCTCTGCAGCATTTTGCAAACAGCCTAAATGTTGAACGCTGATACGAGTCTGGCGGTGACACAGAGAGACGATACATCAGCAATAACAGTAAACATGCTGCATTCACAGAGGTTAGCGTTGCCAGTTAACAGTTAACAAACCCCTGGTCGCCGTGGAGACAAGCTCAGCACCCAGCTCTTCATTTTCCCTACCTGCTGTTCTCTCTGCGCTCCGCCAGCATCTCAACTCCTCAGCAGCAGAAAAAATATTCCACTGTAAACCAAGACGACTCCTCTACATCAAAAAAACAAAAAACCAGAACGTTTGTCTTACGAGCAACAACGGTTTGCGATACCTTCCCCTCACGGCGGTCAGAGAAGAGGACAGGCTAAGCTCGGAGGCATGGCTTGTCTTCTTTGGCAGTGCCAGGGGCTTTGTTTGCCAGCCAGTGTACTGTGTGTGTCTGTGTGTGTGTGTGTGTGTGTGTCTGTGTGTGTGTGTGGCCTGCCGGGACTGGCACAGCTGATCCCCCCCTGACACCGGGTGTACAACGCTTTGGAGGAAGAGGACGGGAGGTGGAGTGGCTATGGCCATCTCTCACCGAGAGGAACGTACCATTCGGCCCAGAAACAGGAGGGGACATGCACAACCCTCAGTAGAAGGCACCATTAAAAATTCATCTCGGTCATTACGTGCATCCAGGCTCACTGAGTTCACATTAACTTTGCATCATTATTACATGAAGGGTTTTCTGCTGCACATACAGAGAATAGACAAAGTTTCCTCTAAAGCATTTTGTGTCTTAAACAAAAGCAGGAAAAGATGGATATGTTCAATTGTGGATGATAATTTAAAGAAGTTAAACTACTTCTGCAGGTATCTTGATCTGTCACTGGAGTTATTATTTTAAGAACCCTCTGCTGGAGACTGTTGGAACATTCTGGTTCACTAAGACGATATTGAAGTGTGGTTTCCAGCAGGGATACACTGGGCCATATGGAAATGAGGCCAGCAGGGAAAGCAGATCATCCACCTCACTGAATGAAGCCAGCTATAAAATCTCCTTCTCAACACACCACCAGCAGCAAGGTCGACGATACACAGCAAAGAGAAAAGATCTGCTTAACTGCAACCAGAGACCTGTTGTGTTAAATATGCCTGAAGGGTTCTCAGTGACTTGTATAACCACAACATTCAGATGGGATTTGAGCTCTTCTCTGCCTAAACCTGCACTTACACTGCCGACTTACAGGATATCATTAAATGTGTATCACACTTTATGTTTCCATTCAGTCCGGAGATAAACTAACAACAGAATCCAATGCATAAATAACAGCTAAACCAAAATAAACCACACGTGTGATCACAAAGATTTCAAGGAGATGTAAAAGATCTGCAAAGTTAAAAAGCACACAAGTCCACAGTAATGCCTGTTGCACGCTAGAGGGATAACCACATGGTGATGACTTTGTTGAAATGGTTTCATCTGTCAGCATGTCTACGGTCTCCCATGTTTTTTTAAATTAGTCATGATTAAGCAGTCTGAGGTAGGTTGTTTCAAAACAACAAAAGCGAGCAGTGATTGGTTGATGCCTTTATTTGTTGTGTAAAAGCTCGTATGAAAGTAATTATGACAAAAACAACCGTTTGGAACAACAAACACTCTCCAGTGTGTGAAGACTTAATGTTGTCTATAGCTCATATTGTTGTTATCTAAAAATACTGAATTTGTCCACTAACGACAATAATGCATGACTTATAATTTGAAATTAATGAACATTAAAACCTTTTTGTATGTGTATCTTTGTATGTGCATGTGCAGTAAGTTACAAACATTAACTACACACACATTGTATGCACATGCTTAAGTATGTGTGTACTGACAGTGATTTCAGTGCTCTGCTGGCTCTGGTGACGTGCAGGCCGTCCCCCCGGGGGCTAATTAAGAATGATCCTCTCCTGGTTTATGCCTGAACGCTGCTTCTTCTCAACGAAGACGACAACTCGTAAAACTACAACTTACAGTAAATGTCTGACACACACACACACACACACACACACACACAAACACACACAACAAAGGTTGTATTTCTCTTTGGATACACTCCACATGGCCTGACAAAGTTCACCTGGTGTTCTGAGTGGGAAATTAGCACCGACCTTGTGCTGCATTTTCCACAGGATTTTTAATGCAGCTATCCATCAACACCTGATCAATATCAAGGGCCTGCTCCCATCACACACACAGTCAAATGCACAGATAATAAAAATGCAATCCCTGATAATCTTTGGGGGTTTTGTGTATATTAGTATTTGCTGCACAAAGCGTTGGTCTCATGAGAACATCTTTATTTATATTCCTAATTAGGCTTCACACACACCAACAGTCTTCATATCATCACGGTACCTACAATGAACCATTTTTGTTCTGAATATTTCTCTACAATCCAAGAAAATCCCCTAATACTAATACTTCAAGAAGCCTGACTGAAAATAAGCTTTTTTTTAAGACTTCGCTTTGGAATAATTCATAACGAATCAACTAGTCATGATGCATTGATGCCTAATTATAACATTAGTAGCTGCACACAGAACACATGAGGTAAAGCTGTGTATTAAACTAACATGTGATGTGTTAACACTAAAGTACCAGCAATTTTGCTTTTACTGAACTGATTTATCACTGAAAAATGGAAATGTTAAATCACAGTGGTCATAAAAAGCAGAGGTGCTAAATATGTAAACAAGACGGCGATTGCTGATGTTCGTGGGACGCAAGGGACTCAAACCACGCAGCTCACGATACTGTGTATTTATCTCAACCCGTACCTGTGGGAATAACTCCCCACGAGAGGAACACAAACTAATAACAAAGAAATATCCAGTCGTAGATGTGGGGGGTGGTGAAGGTTGCATGTATTGTATATATGTTCCAAAACCTTATGTTGCAGCATGAGAACTTTAATGTGAAATGATTGCTTCTCTTAAGACGTCTGAGTCAACCAAATGGACGAGGACATTGTTCATGTCCAACTTAAGAGCCACCAAATCAGTCCAACGTGTCCAACTACACGTGACTTAGTTTCACACTCAGTTAATTTACCGGACATTTTCCGGAGCTTGCCTATCTGGGTCAACATGAACAACATGTCACAAGATTTATTTAATTCTAAAGCTTGTTGAGAGAATTAAAAATGGCAGCATTCCTGTTATTGTGACTTAGTTCCAAGCAAAATACTTAAAACTAGGCAAGTTTGAAACATAAGGGGAACTACACACAAGATTAAAAGGCTTCCGGTTTCTTTTTTATCATTGACTCATCTGTTTATTTTTAAAAATGACACATTTTCTTCCCCAAAACTTATCACTCAGATCCCTTCTTTTATTCAGCCATGAATTCAGAACTAAACAACGTTTATTGTAATTTTCTAATATTTCTTAATTGTTAAATTCACTTTATTACAATTTCAGTGACACTTGTGATCCTTCATACTATTTTGCTGTCATACCCTAAAATTGAATTAAGTTAATTAGCTGACTTTCATCGAGAAGCACTTCTGTAGCGATTCGTTTATTGACTAGAATAAACACTGTTGAGTTCTGAGAACACACGAGGCCCTGTATGCAGAAATAAACTCACTTTGGTTGCATGTTACAGAGGAAGTTGCAGCCTACATATCTGTCCACTGCTACTTTACCTAATTAGGTTTTCATATTTGATTAGGACATTCAAAAGATCATCAGTTACTTCCAACGGGGTCTAATGGCATAAACAGATTTACTGTAGCTACATTCAGTAGTTTAACAGTATTTAACCGGTGGCGCTCGTTCATCAGTCACTGTGTTTCTTCTCAGCCGTGGTGTTGACACGTCTAAGTGTTATTTAATATGACCAAATAAACTGAAAGGAAGCGACTGCAGCAACTTCGCACAACAGCTTCAGTGTGTTCAGTTCAGGTCGGACAAACCGGCTGCTCCTCAGCCAAGAGGCTGGGTACAAAAGATGAGGCCGTGCATGACGCATGTGGTGAAATGAATTTATGATGACAAACATCTTTCAGGACTTTACCATTAGGTCAATAAAAAATATATATGAAACATATTTTTCCTTACATGGAAATGCTCAGACAAACCACACAAGGTTAATAAAGCATGGCAACCATCGCTGGGTCATTATAATTGTGTCTACACTGCAAGAAATGTGACTTAATGAACCTGACTTTGCAGAATGGCTGAGGAATCTTATTTCATTTTATTTCAATGTGGTTGTTTTGTTCCTGCTCCATTTTCTTTTTTCATTTTCAGTGTAGTTTTTTTAATAGTATGATTGATGTTGTTATTGTTAACATTAATCGTTAATTTTATTAATTTTATTAGCTTGTTTTTACACAATTTGTGTGACGGGAGAATATAACTCACACACGTCCATTTCTGTTCATGAGGAGATAGATTATTGCAGAGTCATGTCACAGTCAGGTCTAACTTTGTTGGAAAGAAATGACAGAAAACATTATGTTGTTTCCATGTGGGTCAGACGTCCACTGTTCCGGGTCTGTACTCGTGATGTAACAATGGGTGCACATGATGATTTTAGCAGGTGAATCAGACAACCAGGGGAAATAATTGAGCTGCATGTAACATCTGATGCGCTGCTAAGTGTGACTGAACAGGATGTGCCGGGGTGAATTATTAAGAGAATCAGGTAGGCAGTTGGAAGATTAAGACGTTGAACCACAGCTGTTGCAACAACAGAGCTTCTCAAACTCAATTACGTATTAAACATTAAACATCCGAATCATTATTTGTCAGCACACGTGTCACAAGCAAGAAGACGTGTTCACCAACTAGGGCTGGGTGCTTAAACAATAATTATCGCAATTCAATTTTAGGAGCTCAGGAGCTAAACTCTGTCTTGAGAAAGACTGAGATGATATTTTGAGGTTCATCTCTGGCAGGTGCCCTTTAACGATTCCAGATTCACAGCTAAAGACTCGGTGGGGGGGGCAGAGTTGAAGACACAAGAGCTCCGAGGGTCTCGAACACCCCGCCAGAGGAGATACAACAGTCTGAGTCAGAAGCTTCCTTTCAAACCTTCCTGTGCCACATTCCCTGATTTCACCTAATTCCAGTTTTTGATCTTGTGATGGGTGGTCACGCTTAAAATGTGCACACGGCATCTATTGCACTTCTGTCCGTCCTCGAGACACGTGACTCCCTCTGAGGACTCTGCATTTTATTTCTCTCCTGTTG